CCCGAGTTCGATCCCCAGTACCAAAAAAAAAAAAAGAAAAAGAAAAACCATCTATGCATTTGAACAGATGTTTTATTCAAGAGAAAAGGTCTTGAAAGTAGCCATTATAAATATGCTCAAAGACTAAATGAAACCATATTAAATAAGTAAAGAAAGCCAGGCATGGTGGCGCACACCTTTAATTCCAGCACTCAGCAGGCAGAGGCAGGATAGCTTCGAGCTTGAGTCCAGCCTGGGCTACATACTGAGCTCAAGACCAGCCTGAACTACAAAGTGAGATGGGACTCTGTCTCAAAAAAAAATTAATAAATAATAAAAAAGAAGTAAAGGAAGGGTGATGTGATGATAATGCCATCTTAAAGAGTATCAATAAACAGGAATTATAAAAAGAAATAGATGAGAGTTGCAAAGTATCATAACTAAAGAATTCATTAGAGGGGCTCAACAGTAGATTTGAACAGGCAAAAAAAATCAATGAATATAAAGACAGATCAATAGATTAAACAACATGAACAACAAAAAAAAAGGACTGAAGAAAAATGAACAGCCCCAGAGAAATGTAAAACTTTATTAAGCATACCAACATATACATGCTAAGCACACCAGAAGACAGAGGGAGTGCAAGAAAACATTTTGGTGAAATAATGGCTGGAAACTTCCAAAGTTTATTAAGAACAATAATATACATATCTAGAAAGTTCAACAAAGTCTAAGAAAAATACACAGAAATCCACAGACACATAATACTAAATACTGAAAGCCAAAGACAATGGGAAATTCCTTAAAAAAGCAAGAGGGTTTCCTTACTAACAAAGAAACTCTAAAATTAACAGCAGGTTTCTTGGCAGAAACAGTGGAGGCCAAGCAAGGTACAGTGGTGCACACTTGTAATCCCATTAGTCTACTCTGGAGGCTAAGTCAGGAAGACTGCAAATTCAAGGTCAGGGTGGGCAACTTAGTGAGACCCTGTCTCAAAAAAATTTTTAAATAAATAAATAGAGCTAGGGATGTGGCTTGGTGGTAAAGTCCTTACTTAGCAGGTGTGAGAACCTGCATTCAATCCCCAGTACTAGAAGGGAGGGAAGGAAGAAAGGCGAAAAGGGAGGGTGGATGGGAGAGGAAGGAAGATGGAGGGGAGGAGAGGGGTAGAGGGAGGAAGGATGAAGAGAACAAATGAACAAGGCCAGAAGGCACTAGGTTAACTTTCAAAAATGCTCAAAGAAAAAAACTGTCCAGCAAAATCCTATCTACAGTAAAAATACTGTTCTAAAATGGAAGTGAAATAAAGACATTCCCCAGCAAAAACTGGGAGAATTTGCTGCTAGAAGAGCTACCTCACAAGAAATAACTAAAGGAAGTTCTTAGGCCTGAAAGCAAGTGGCTCCCAGACTGTAATTTAAATCTCCATAGAAAAAACAAAGAGCACTGGAAAACATAATGACCTAACTACACACAACAATATAAATGCTTACTTTTCCTGCTTTCTTCTTTGAACTGATTTGAAAGGCAATTGTACAAAATAATTATATCTATATTATATATGGATATAGTATATTTTGATTCTATGACATATAGAGATATATTTGCCAATAACATCACAAAGGAGATGGGTGAGAAGACAGCTATGTCAGGATAAGGAAATAATTCCAGAAAGATATCATTTACCAAAAATGATAAAGTCAGTGTAACAAAAGTTACACAACTTCTCTCAACTTCTTTAAAAGACATTATATAAATTAATAATCATGATAAGATATTGTTGGAATTATAACACTTGGCAATATGTAAAAATAAAACAACAAAAAGGGGGGAAGGAACTAGAACTATATGTGAGTAATGTTTATATTACCTCACTAGAATGAAGTTATAAAAGTCTTAGAAAAAAATATGGGTAAATCTTCATGATTTCAGATTTGGCAACAGATTCTTAGATATAACACCAAAAGCATGAGCATCAAAAGAAAAATAGATAAATTTCACTCCATCAGAACGAAAAAAAAAACTGGTACAAGAGATCAAACCTAGGGCCTTGCACATGCTAAGCATCTGCTTTACCACTACACACCCCAGATAAAATGAAAAACTTTTGTGCTTCAGAGGATACTATCAAGAAACTAAAAAGATAACCCTCACAATGAGAGAGAACATTTGCAAATTATCTGATAAGGGACTTGTGCCCAAAATATATAAAGAACTTTTACAAATCACTAAAAAAATAAAACTTTATAAACCCTGAGCTGAGATATATAGCACACTAATAGAGCTCATGCTTAGCCTGAGCAGGGTAGAGATAATTTCCAAGCACCAAAAAACAAAAACCCAATAATACAATTTAAAAATAGGCGAAGGATACAAATAGACATTTCTCCAAAGAAGATATACAGTCAATAAACACAGGCCAAGATACTCAATATCTTTAGACATAAAGGAAACACAAATCCAAACCATAGTGCAGTACCATTTCACACCCACTATGATGGCTAGAATCAAAATCAGGTCAAGGGTCATTGAGAAATTGGAACCCTCACACAGTTCTGGTTGTAATGTAAAGTGTGCAGCCATTTTGAAAACCAGTCTGGCAGTTTCTTAGCAAGTAAATATAAAGTTACCATATGATTTGAGAATTCTACTCTTTTGGGAGTACAAAGTATACATACCTAAAAGAAAATCTTATGTGCACACAAAAACTTATATATCAATATTTATAACAGCACTATTCATAAGAACCAAAAGGTGAAAACAACCTAAATGACCATCAACTGATGAATGCATAAAGAAAATCTTTTATACTGTACTCATACATAGACCATTATTTGGCTCTAATAAGGAATGAAGTACTTATACATGCCGTAATATAAACAAATCTTGAATACATAGTGCTAAGTGAAAGCAGCCAGTCACAAAAAACGGCATATTACACGAATGTATTCATATGAAATGTCCAGAACAAATACATACATAATGAATATAGATTGGTGGTTGCTTAGGGCTGGGAGAGAAGCATATAGAAAGGTGACAGTGAAAAGGCAGTGGGTTTCTTTCTGAGGCAATAAAAATGTAAAATTGATTGTGGCAATGGTGGTTCACATCACTGAATACACTAAAATCCACTGAATTGCACAATTTAAACAGGTTAATTATGTGATATATGACTTATATCTCAATAAAAATGTTAAAAAAATTTTAAACATATATGAACAGTATCATGATCAATACTGTCAGACTTTAAACTCAGCTAAATGGAGCTGAGAAAAAACTATGATGCCTCAGTTTCTACCATTTAAATATTAATGAAATAAATTCAAAATTGTATCATTCAAAATCCATAAATCCTTTTAATAGTAACTAATAGAGTGGTAGCTGTCCTTTAATTTTATTTATTTATTTATTTTATTTTTGATATAGGGTTTTGCTATGTAGTTTAGGCTGGCTTTGAGCTCACTATGTAGCCCAGGGTGGCCTCAAGCTCAAAGCAATCCTCCTGCCTCAGCCTCCCAAGCGCTGAGGTTACAGGCATGCGCCACCATGCCCGCTGTCCTTTAATTTTAATAAGCATATTCTATTGCACAGCACGGGTCTAGAGCACTATTCTGGGTGAAAAATTCACTTTACAATGCATCCCAGAAATTATATATATGTGTGTGTATTTATACATAAAAATTCATAAAATACTTTTTAATATGTAAGAAGCACTGTTTCTATCCTACTGCATCTCATCTTAAAAAAAAGGGAAGATCCAGTCCACTAACATGACTTCATAACACTACACTAAGGTCTCCTTCAGCTCTACAATATTATGCTACATATTAATGACAAATGTTTGGGGAGATGGATATACCAATTACCCTAATCTGATTATTACAAATTATGTAAATGTATTGAATGTTAACTACACCCCATAAATATATACATTATGTGTTCGATTAAAATTTTAAAAATTGGGGCCAGGGATTTAGCTCAGTGGTTCTGCCCCCTGCCTCACAAGTGCAAGGTCCCAAGTTTGATCCCCGGTACCAAAAAAAAATTGTTTTTAATTATAAAATTCTTGAAGGCATGACTGTATATTTCTCTTGGTATTTTATTAACTAGGACGGTGCTTATGCGCATAGTAGTAAACATTAAATGTTTGTTGACAAAAAATAAAAATTTAAGGTTGTTTCTCAAAGCTGACAATACTGTACTTTATAGTGATACTGATGAAGTGGTGGTAACTAATTTTTCTTTCAATATATGAGAAATAAAAAGATATACTGAAGTATAGTAAGTACAGATAATTCCTTTCAAACTGTTCTTGAGAGATAATAATGGAGAAAAACATTAAAAAGTGCTATAACCACTGCTACATTCATAAGCTAGGGAAAAGCATTCTTCCAACTTCCAAAGTGACCTGTGCACACAAAACACTACTGAATATTCAAATCGAAGGATAATGTTTATACGTAAATTTAGGGCGGTGTACGTTTTGAGGAGAAAGATAATTATGGTTTTCGTTTATCAGAGAGCACGCCTGTTAGCAAAGGAGTTGACTGCTGCCAATTCAATTTGCCTTTTGTTTATAGGTGACTTGTCATGTTACAGCACCCTCCAAAATGCTACCTGCGACTAAAATCTGAACCACAGGCAATTTGGTACCACATTCCATTAATAATTTTGGAAAGTAGCCCAGTCTTCTTTGCATTTAGAAATGTAAGCAGGCTGGGAATGCTGCCTGCCCCATCTAACATCAGAAGGAAAAAAAAACTATAAATACTACCAGATACTTCGGCGCTTCAGGTGCCCTCTGAACCTGCCCCTCCGTTCTTCTTTGCTGTCCCTATAGGTTTCCTTCACTACTTCCTCAAATTACTAACCCTAATTTCCTTCTCTTAATTGTAGCTCAGAGTTATCCCAGACAATCCTTCTTCCAGGGCCTCTCTCTGACCCGAGGTCACAAGGGCAACCTTTTCCCTATTAGGTCCCCTTGTCCTTCACCATACTATTCCGTGTGACCGGCATCTCACCTGGTAGTTTCGAGCCGTTCCTGAGGCGCCACGCAGATGTGACTGCCACTGTGGATGTGAGCCGAGGACAGTAACTAGAGGCCGGATCAAAATCGCTGAAGGCTGGCGCTTTTCGAAAGCAGCCGCCGCGGCTGCCCAACGCCAAGAACGTATCGCGAGCAGCGCCATCTTGAGCGAGGAGAGGAACAAGAGAAGGGGATTGTGGGACACTGGCTGATTGAACGCGGTTCCCTCAATCATCTCTCCCCTCCCCCTCGTCCCGCCCAGTCTGACAACCGAAATGGCTTCTATATGATGATTCCTTCTTTGTTACGCCCCTGGGTCTGGACTTTGTTTTTCTTACACAACCTAGAATAACGGAGTATCAATGTCTTTTGCTCTTTTCCTCGAGTTGCCAGATATAATTAAAGAGACAGAGGTACACGATAAAACTGCTTTAAAGAGCTGCAGCCACCATAGATCAGATGGTAACACTTTATGTATGCAATAATTATACGTGAATGTGGGTAGTATTTTGCAATTCAAGAAGTGCTTTTTACATATCTAATCTTATTTAATCCTCACACCAACTCTGTAGAATAGATATTATTTTTAAATATTCCCGTAATTATGAGGATACAGATTGAGATAGTCTGTGGCTTGACAAAAAGCGGAGCTAATGGGATGGTGGGATGGAGACTAAACCTACCTAGGTTTCACAACTTCCCTTACAGTGCTTTTCATGAAATTGCACCTAAATTTAGAAGAAACATTTGTGTAATTTAAGAAGGTGACAGTGATCTGTTTCTAGAAAATGCTATAACTTATTGTCCTTTCTGGACTTGAGCACTTGCTTTTGCCTCTATCAGGAACATCTTTCATGTAGATTTGTACATGATAAAATTTGTCTTGCCATTTGAGTCCCTAGCTCAAATGTCATCTGATTATGACAAGAGCACTTTATCTAAAGAAGCCAGTGCCCCAGATTCTTATTACTTTTTTTTTTCTTTTCTTTGGTACCAGGAATCAAACTCAGGGCCTTGTGCTTGCTAGGCAGGCACAGTGCCACTGAGCTACATCCCCAGCCCCTTCTTATCACTTTTGATCACACTGTCTTATGGTTCTCTAAAATCCTGCTGTAAAAAATGTGTTCCACAAACTACCTGTATTTGTATCACCTGGGATATTGTTAGAAATTCACAATCTCAGTCCCCACACCAGACCTAAAAATTCCAAATCTGACTTTAAGAAACCCCCAGGTTATTTATAAGCATTTTAAGAACAGCTATCACTTTCCAGAATTAACTTTAACATTAAGAATGCTGGGCATGGTGGCACACACCTGTGATCCTAACACTCAGGAGACTGAAGGAGGAGGATCACCAGGAGTTCGAGGCCAGTTTGGGGCTACATAGTGAGTTCGAGGCCAGCCTGAACTGAACTACATAGCCAAACCCTATATCAAAAAAAA